AAAATATAAATTTAAGGGGTTTTAAATAAAATTGCATTAACTTTACAATTTTTCCCATAAATTGTCAAGTAGCCAATTGGCCAACATATAGAAACCTACTTGGCGCTATGATGGTAGTTGGCCCCTACATTGGCCGGCCAAGCAAATGTTGTCCGTTTTCGTGCCCACATCAAGGGATCTTGGCGCACTCCACAAACGGCGTTCACACGTTGGCATCTCCTTTCAGTTTGTTGTCATTCGTCAGTCAAGATGACGAATGAACACAGACTTAAGAAATTATTAACATTAAGAAATTAATTAAAGCACTTAAAAATAATCAAACCTAACGTACAAAAATAAATAGCCGCACCTATAAGAGATTCTACGTTGTAAGAAAAGTTATCTTATATTTAGATATAATGGAATAAAACAGTGACCTCAATACTTTATAAAATGAGACACTGCTTTTATGCTTACGAACTACGATACATTACTTAAAAACTAGTTCCGAGTATACGGCGATAAATATTAGGGTTGTAACGGAACTCTGCCTCCGCCTCCGTTACTGCGGAACTTCCGCAAAGAATTTAACCTCCGCCTCCGCAAAATTTATGCGGAGTCATATCGGAATTCGGAAGTTCATTTACGATCACAAACAGAGTCAGAGAGAACACAACAAGTTCGCATTTACTTATCGGCGCCACCAAGTTCAGTGCCAAGCGAACAGTTATTTAGTGCTGGTGGTTTAATTTACGAACCCTTGAGAAACCGCTTTTTTTTTCTTTTTTTTTAAGTTTAAATTTATTTATATTTTCCCAACAAATTTCACCTCCGCCTTCGTTAACCTTCGCATCCGCGGAGGCGAACCTCTTCACCTCCGCATCCGCCTCCGCCTCCGCTAAGTAGGCCTCCGTTACAACCCTAATAAATATTATACAGATTTACTTACAATGGATTTGAAAAGACATTTGAGAAAAATACTTAATGAGATGGGATTTTAATTTAGTTACAATAGAAGATAATTGAAACTTCTAATGGGAGAGAATCACGTAAATATCAAATGAAATCAATATCTCAGTATACCGCCAGGTTCTGTAGGTACCTACGTATATTTATTACATTATGCTTATTTTTATTAACCTGACCTATATTTAAGTGCGATGGCTGAAATAAACAAAATATAATAAATATGGATATACAACTTAAAAAAATAATTTAGAAACAAAAATCATCAATCATCAAGTCTTTCTTTGAAAGATTCTCCCATCAATACTTGAAGTTTGATAGTGACGATAACTGCGAAAATGACTACAGTATGATAACGCTAATCAATACAAAGCACGCTTAACATGTTAAAAATGTTTGGCCAAGCCCTGACGGTCGTGTCACGATCACGTACGAAACTGTCGATGCACAGTGTTACATTATTAAAGTGCATTTAATACGTTTTGTTCTTCTAAAGTAAATTCGACGTATTTTGTTTTTATAAATACCTACCGTCAACCTGTCACTATATTTTATAGTTTTAACCTTAAACTAAGATATGAATAGGTGTGTAAGAGTTTAAAAAAGTAATGAATTTTGTCTCAAAGTATTAAAAAATAGGTTTTTATGAACATCAGTCCATCAGTCTTAAACGACGTCCCAAAAAGAGGTTCTCAATTTGGCCAGTATCTTTTCTTTATAAAAGATACATTGATTAAGTCGAAGTTTGTGGACCGAACTTCGCGAGTCTTTTTGTTAGATAAGGTATACTTAAGAATATCAATATATACCAGATGACAATGTATTCTTATGTATACCATTGTCATCTGGTCAGTATCTGATGATGAGATTTCAGTGAAATCAAGGGCAATCTCAAATTATAAGCACATTTTATCTTTATTTTTACAATTGTGTAAAGTTATTCAACCATTTCAGTCTAATAATCATCATTTCAAGTCAATGATCATTTCAAGCCAATGAGTTGATAATGGTAGGTACAACTTCTCATCGGTTAGGAGCTTCGAGAGAAAACTCTTTCAAAATTATAGTATAATTTTCAAAATTATATATACTACATAGATCGAAAGATGTTATTTGAGGAGGGCCTCATTATTAAAGATAAATGTCAGTAACGTTTTCATTTTGGATAGAAAAGTAGATGTAGCCCCTAAGACTAAAAAGTAAGAAATAAAATAAAACTACGTTCAAAAACCAGACTTCAAAAACTATAAATTAAATACAAAAAAAATATTATCAATAGAATATACATAAATATAATTAGTATTAACTATTACTAAAAGATAATATATACAACTTGAAATATAAATAACTATGAACTAAAAGAAAGAAGTTAGTGGAAATATTGACCCCCCCCACCCCCCGTCAAGTCACTCTCCCAGAGACAATGGGACGAGCCGCTCTGCAGAAAAGTGAGCGAAAATCTGTTTAACTCCGCTTGTTCAACTGCAGAGCGAGCTCGCCTATTGGCTGTGGGTGAGTGGGAGTCGGGGTTATGGCTTCTTGCTTTGCCTTCGTCCAACTTAGGTACTTTGTTGGACGACACCACATTCCGCGTTGCAATTTGTTTAAAGCTTGGGGCTTCATTTGGTTCACCTCATCGTTGTCGTTGTGGTGAAGATGTCAACAGCCTTGGACACAACGGCTTGTCGTGTAGCCGTAGTGCAGGTCGTTTTGCTCGACACAAGGTATAAATATTTTAGTTCATAGTTACTTATATTTTAAGTTATATATATTTTCTTTTAGTAATAGTTAATATTAATTTTATTTATGTGTATTCTATTAATTGAAAGTGTACAATAAAGGTTTAATCTAAAAAAAAGAAAAAAATCATATAAACTACACTATTTAGGACACCGTAGGTAGGTATACCTATTATGAGTGATGGTAAGTAATACTCGACTTAACATTCAGAAGGTGTTGTTGGTAGGACTAGGTACCGAGAACAATACATCTAAACTTAATTAATAGCTAATCTCAATTAATTTAATTGTTTATGTAATGATGGGTAAGGTGTTTTTTTTAAGGGGGAAAATCGTCGAATGACTGCTTCCGCCTGGGTGAGGCGGAAAGGAGTGTCAGACTCTTACTGACTAAAAACCACCCCGTTACCCCGGAGCCCCGGTTACCCGTTAGGTTCTCCGCGACATGGGTAAGGTGTACGGGAAGACAAGCACTGAGCGAAGGAAGAAGTCGTAGCTGCGCAATATTCGGGAGTGGCGGTCCACTACCGGTGTATCAGCTCTGTGGAGCGACTTTTCCGCCTGACCAATGACAAGGACCACGTGTTGCACCACAATCACATGAGCATTAGACCTATAAAAGACTACACTATAAAAAACTACGCTTTTCTCTACTTTCACACGGTGTGATATATTGTTGTATGCAATGTATTGATTATTTTTTTGTTTTAAATTTGTTGTTTCTAAAATTCAGGTCAACATAACAATGTTACATATATTCTTATATCCTAGATATGGCAAGAATAAGAAGGCAAGATTCTTCGAAAAGTTTGACACCTCCTGTTTTATAAATTGTAATGTTGAGAGTTAAGAAAGTAAAAGGATAGCCAAAAATTATAGTTTGCCATTCCAAAGAAACTAATAATGCTCATGGGATGTTTGTCAACTCCATGAACCTCGCCATAAGGCCAGGATTTAAGGGAACAATCTACATATTGTATACTGTCCCTGGACACATTATTAGACGCACTTTTGTTTTTTTGTTATGTAATGACATTTAGATGAGTTCACTAACCGCATAAATTTAAAACTTCTATGTTTAAATATATGAATGTTATACACACGGAATATAGAATACAATGGAAGTAGCTTGAAACAATATTTCTGCCAGAACCGGTGTCGCCAAACTAATACATTTATAATTTACTCATACTATAAATCGGAAGTTACGATTGGTTAGAAAAAAAATGGGCGTAAACGAAATGCAAAAAAATATCATACGATATGCAACTTTAAAATCAATGCACTGTAAATCAAAATAAAAAAGTATATTTTGGACTACCAAGTACCGCCATTCGTCGCTAGATGGCGTTTACCAATGCCATCTAGCGACGAAAAATGGTACTTGGTTTGAACTTTAACGTCGTAAGAATAAAGGTGATATTTGAATGACTTATCACTGGCTCGAAGCGGGTCTCTACTCAGATAGTGATGTAGCCTAATTCGATAAAAATAATAACGATAATATGAAAATGTTTTAAAAATAATGTGAAAAAAAATATTCACTGCGATAGTGTGACAGTATTAAAATAAAAAAATTAATATGTCGTTGATAACTTTTTAAACGTAAGAAAAAAGAGTAAGTATTTATTTACATACATGTAAATCAAAAACCATTTTGTTCGTATTTTTTATTAGTTTCTTTTTTCAAAAATACATTTTTTTTTTATTTCACATAGGCAATATAAGTAACAACTATTACATACATTTTTATAAACTTTATATGGATAATGTGATAAATGAGAGGGATGGCGATAAGGATGACAGTGCTGATCTGCTCTGTGAAGTGAAGGTTGCTTCCAATCACGTCGGGGTCACTACTAAAATAATAATAAAAAAATAATCTAAATAAACGTTACATTACACTTGCATCGATATCAATCGATAAATTCAATATTTGATTTGACTACATAACTATTTGAGTAGCGTAGAACTGGCGAGAATGTTCTATTGAATGGAATAAATCCATAATAAACTTTATCTTGAAGGCGTAAGGTTGATTTTGACTAACCGTTTTAGTAAATCATATTATTTTAATAACCGTTTTTGTAAATTGAAATAAAATAAGATTTCTACAAGAAAACAATGAAAATTGTACTTACCGATGATACGAAACACCTCCATTTTTACGATTTTTCGGCTGCTATCATTTTTACACGCCAAAACGGAACAAAACGGCATAGTTGAGGAAATATGTATTTGTCACGAGACTAGCAACTTGACGCGATGTTCGAACGAGACTGAACTCGAATTTGCCTCGAGTAAGCAGTACACTGCTTAGTTGTGGCACGCGTGTCACGCCTACTTGCTACTTCCATTGTATTCTATATTCCGTGGTCATACATATTTATTGAGGAAAGGACAGTGGGCAAAATACACCTAGCTTCGCCACGACTCAGACTATTTGAATGGTATCACAACCATGGTTCTCTGTATCAAAGCTCATTGAATCAAGTCCCATCAAATTCTCTGTATAACAACATTTTTTTTGCCCATAAAACATGCAACTATAACTAAAAATATCTGTTGAAAATAAAAGATCAACTAAAAAAGGACCACATAATACAGTTGTTCCGGTGCACCATTGATGTTTGGTGTAAACGCTGTATTCAAATTGTGGCTAACGACCACCTTCAAGAACCAAACTTACTTAAGATACTGGAGATACAATTTGTGTCACAAGTTATTGTGTCCAAATTGTATCTCTACAAACTTATCCCGTCACAGTTTAATCAATGATGACATCTGGCCCCACAAAGCCAATTTCGATACGTCTTTTCATGTCATTGTTGACATTATTTAGTTCTTCAATTGTTACCTTCGTAATAATCTGCATATCATCAGTAATAATCATCTTCTTAACGGTCAATAATTTTAGTGCGTGTTCTAAGCATAGATAAGAGTTACGCACTAAGCCGACAACCTGTGTACAAAAAATTTGATCATGAATTATAATGGGGATGATGACAGGGTATGAAAATTAAAAATATAATTAGTCCGTAACTTAGGTAATAAAAAAATATTAGATACGTATTTTTTCATTTTGTTGTATAAGTAAACAATACTTAGATAAAACGAATCAAAGTTTAGGAGTGGGGGCTAAAACGTCATTTCTTAGTATAAAATGTACTGAGAAGTGACGTCACGCGACATTTCAAATCAATATATCTTCGAAACTATTCGTTTCCGTAAGAAAATAAAAAATACGTGTCTAATGTTTTTAAATAATCTACCAGACGGACATTAAAATAAAAATTAGTCGTCTACCCTATTACTAACAGCAAGTACAAAAGTGACATACTGAATAGGACTCACCTTTGAGAAGAACAGTGTACCTCTACAGTATTCACATTCTTCTTGAATAAATGTTCTGTTTCGTCTTCTGCGACGACCCGTATTTTTCGGTTTAGGAATATCAGGCTAAAACAATATAAAGAATATGGTATAACTTCACGTACATACAGGGTGTGTCGTAAGTAGTGGCTTAGGAGGTTGATGTAACAGATATTCCTCTATAATATACTAAAATGCAATCCCATTAGACACAGAGAAAGTAACATACTTTAACAAGTTAACTTATATGATTTTACTTAAAAAGATTTCATTTGTTGATAGCCAAAGTAATTATTTAGCACCAATACATAAGAAAGTATAACTATTTTACGAAATCTACTAGTTTGTGATGCAATATCATAAAAACACAAAATTTTCTGGTACCCGCAGGTCAAATGGGATAAAAGGTTAGTAAGTTATATAAGAATATTTGTTACATTAACCTCTCAAGTCGATACCATTGTCGTAAGTAGTGGTCCAGATTAGTGGTAGGCGTATCCGTGTGGATAGTGCACTGCTAGGAAGAACTCATAAAATTGACATAATAGGAACTGTTGAATTACCTGGTGCACCATTTTGATGCCTCTCTCTTGCAAGATAAGCCTCTTTGTGATCTCATTTCTCAAAACTTTATCGAAAATTGGCTGTGCGGTTTTGAGAGTGGCCATGTCCACACAAGTCGCTTTGCCTATTCGCAATAGCAGCTCTTCGAGCGAGAACATCGTAGGCTCACAATTTTCACGAGCCTCCTGCAATTAGTTTTTAATTAAAAATTAATACTTATGCTACACAGAGAAACGTCGTTTACACGAATTCCAAGTATGCTCTACAGTCTGAATGGCTAAGCGACGCAGTGGCGCCGACATTGTTGCGTTCCATATTAATAAAGTTATTTTTCCTTTTGATTAAATTCTACAAATAGTGTCTGGTGTCTGTAGCCAAATGCCACTGAGTGCAGTGTTGGCTACAAATAGGATATAAAGTTTCATTACGACATATTGTCAGTGTCATCCCCATACATTGCGTTTTCTATACTAAAATGGCATTTCGCTACAGACCTTGGCCTTTAGCCAAACGCCACTTTAGCGCTCGTCTACAGAGAGAGTAGAAATCAAAATGTATGGGGATGACACTGTCAAGTGTCAAAATTTACGTCAATTCCATATAATTTGGTTTTCTATTCTACATGTAGACAAGCGCTAAATGGCATTTGGCTACAGCTGCTTGATTTATAAATCACTAGCTGTTCCCCGGAACTTCATCCGCACATAATATTCAGCGCAATTAGGTTTTTGATGTATTATAAAATACGAACTTATACTTTTATTCGTCGATTTCTTTATTTAAAATGTTGTCTACACAGATATATTAAAGAAGGAGATATGGTGTGGGTCAAAAATGTATGCTAAACCGGTGAAGCCACAACTGCCCCTCCATAAAACTAATATTACACACACAGTTCTGACAACACAATACTACGAATAAGTGCACACACGCGGCATCGATAACTCAGTAATGCAAATATTAGCCTTATTCTTTAAACGACAGCGCACATTCTCCTATGATTTACTCACACTAAAATAATTTGTCACTGTGTGTTAAGAGCGGGATCTACCGTCGCCATAGTGCCTTGACGATATCGATAGCTCCCGATGAATATATTTTTTTTTTTTTAATATATATGTATTGCAATCTATCATATAGATATTCAGCAATATTTTTGTTAAATGCAGCAGACTTGTACGCGGGCTGTCCAGTGACTGCCCCGTTTATATTTACAACCTCCTAGATGAGGTCTTGAGGAATCTTTCTCTTTAGTCTTCTAGCGACTGTTTGGGTGTCCATCCAATGAATATATCGATAAATGTATTACAAAGGTTTCGGAAATAAAGTTAAAACGACATGAAAAAATATGTAATTATTATACAAAGTCGATCATAATATTGTGAATCTCCAGTCTCCACTAGTGTTGTTAACATTATTTTAATAAACGTATATCAGTGTACGAGAGTTATCCATTTTCATTTATACAGTCCACTTGCTCTCCAAACGACCTAGCTCGTCGAGGACTGATCCACATCCTGATCCCTCCGAGCCCGCACACAGTCGGAATAATATAGAAAAATAAAAATAAAGTAATAACTTGTTGTTTTTTTTTAAGTTAAATATTGTAAATATTTGTTCATACACATGGTAACCGATGCCATGACTTGTACAGTTTTCTTTTTGGCTTATATTTCCGCACGTAACCACTGCACAAGGCGGCATTTATCGTTCGTTGTACGATGGCGGGTGACAACAGACTAACTCGCGGTAACGGCCATATTTTCTTACATTGAGCGGAACGCTCAACTGCGACGTGACCGACACGCCCCCTTACCACTTCTCCTTTTTTAATATTTCTGTGGTTGTCAACCTCATGCCTTACCTTAATGTTTTATCATGATAACAAAAAAAAAGTGAATGCTCCATTGGCATGAAACTCACTTGTCAAAAACTGTCAGATAACATAGGATTCAAACGGTAAAAGAAAGTTTCAAATCGATCTGGTAGTTTCGGAGCCTATTCAATTAAAAAACAAAAATCCAATGTTTTCTCTTTATAATATCAATGTACACTAATTTTACACCAAGAACTAACCTTGAACACGTCGTAGGCGGTATGTAGCCAGGAAAGCGGTGCGAAATATATGCTCTCTGATTCGGAATAGCCCGTGTTTATAGACGAGGTGTAACAGTAGGGAAAAGCCAGTATTATTTCATTTTCTTCCTGTACGACGCGCGTCATTGAAACATTGTACTCTCGAAGAAGGTGGGGCGGTATCATAGCTATATCTGTTGAGAGCCACAGAGATTTCCTTTGACAAAAAGAAGGACAGAGAGAGCTAACTGCCTTCTTAAAGTTTTCAGTCTGCTTGGCTGGAATCGCATACCTGTTAATTTAAAAAAATATAGTGCATATGCAGATAAAAATTAATGAATACAAGTTTAAATATAAACAATGGCTTACCAAATTCTTGGATCTCCTTTATATAATAAGTCCAGCCAGGCCACAGCGTGGGGGTCCAAGTAGAAACAGTTTGTTGAAAATGCCATCCCCAGGTTTAAAGTGGGTGCAGTTAAACCGGACACAGCACCCAGAAAGCGAAGGATATTGTCTTTATTCTGGCTAATATCCTGGAATCAATAATAACTATCTCAGTATTTTGTAGTATAATTAAAAAATCGGTTCTCTAAAAATTTCTCAGTAATAAATAGCATAGAGTCTGTAATAGTGTACACCAATATCTACACCCCTGTTGACCTCATTACTTATTGAATACATAATAATCGTTTTTGTTTCGATTAGTTGAATGCAGTGTTATTATTATATGAGCCATTTATAATTACCTTCAACGTTAACGTGCGACTACTTCCTCGCGAAGGGTCGGAACCAGTATCAATAGCGGCAGTGGCGACACAAATATGCTCGTTGCCCTGAAGCACATAGCGCCAGTACAACTCTTCTTTCTGTTCAAGACTCATAGGATTGTTCTCTCTAGAGTTACCAAAACCATAAACGACACTATATGTAAACTCAGCGAGCTGCAAAGTAAGGTATCTCTTTAATGATAAATTCATGTTTTACTTACCAGTTATTATTTTATTGAAACATTAATTAAAATTATCAAGATATTTTTGTTTAGTGATGTGATGACAAACAGAAATTCAATTGAAAATAATAGGAAAAAGTCCTATAGTGAATTTGATTTAAATATATCATGACAAGTACTCCATATAATGGAACGTGAATGATTTATTTATGCAAAGTTATTAACCTCTTTAAACCTAGTGTAGTTCATGATTGGACCTCGCACGATGCAATCTTCTGCCTCTTTGACAGCATTCATGACAAGAGACTGTTCCTCCGGTTCTTCCTGAATGTCATTTAGCCCCATCAAACGATTCTGCGCACGAAACGGGTTCAGTGCGCGGTCCAACAGCCTTTGATTTTTTCGAGTCCATGCCCTTTCAATCACACCAAAGATTTCCCTTCTTTCACCTTTAAAAAAACAAGTAACACGATTAGATCACTTTGAACAACCACAGAAAACTTAAGACGAATAACAAATAAGTACTTTGGTAAAAAATTACTAACACTAAGCAGTGGTCAACTTACTTGGCGAAAGAGAATCATAGGGTAGAAGGTACTTCGAGTAGAGCTGATCTAGTCTATTTAGATAGTTTATACTCATAGACAAGTTCATGTCGCGTCCAACTTTCCCCCAACGTTTCTTATTAAGCACAAGTTCTAGTCCACCGTGACGTTGTACGCTATGGTATAACTTAGGTAAATTAACTTCCATACCTCCAACCTGTAAAATTTTTAACAAGGTTAACCTCGTTTGAAAAATGGACGAGATCTCGAGAGATTAACGAGATTGCTTTACTATAGGATGTTTGTTAGATAATTACAGGGTGATTTGTTATCAGTCCACAATCTCGTATGGGGTTGTAGAAAAAATCATTTCCAACATTTATGACACTAAATAAAGCTCAAATTGACTGTATGTTTTAGTTAGAAAACATATGTATGGAAAAAGAAGTGCTGTTTTTAGGGGATTTCCGACAATTATTCGATTTTTTCTCGTCGTTCCTTGAACTTTAACGAACATTTTAAATAAAGAATTGGCCAAATCGGTATAGCCGTTCTCAAGTTGAATCGTGACTACAGGAAACAGGTTTCATTTATATATAATAAGATTTGATAGATTCATTTGACAAAGTCCGCTAATTTAGTAAACTACCTATATACTTAAATATCATAAAAAACTAGCTTCTGCATGTAACTTCGTCCACGTAATTATAGGTACAATTTATTACTTCCGAGAAAAGTATAAATATATGTTTCTTTCATAATCCTATTATTTTTCCCTAGTTTATTCAAACATTGTGTTTATTTGAAAAAAAAAAAAAAAAACAGCTTATCTCGCGAGATCTCATTCTCAATAGATTTGTATTCCCTAGACATATATGAAGATATTCCTTGATATTCCTCCTACGATAACAAAAAAACTAGCTTTAGAATGCCATTGTGGGTTATGGGGTTTTTACGAAATGTGTTTTGTTTCAACACACTATGAATGAAAAAATTTTGTACATGCTTATTCATTAGGTACTGGACTAAACATATATTGTTCCCCGTTGGTGCATATATAGAAGCAATGCTTACCGTTGGTGTGCTACAAGGAAAACCAGTTGATTGCGAGACACAATACTTTATACATGCCAATTCTCGCATAGCTGGTCCCCACCGGTGGAACATTCGAGATGTAAACTGCTTTGCCACGTCGAATCTGATACCATCACAACTCTGACACTTCGGTCTCCATCCTGGAGGTGGAATTATTTTACAAATACCGTATTCACACGCTTCGTCCCAAATCTTCATAAAATACTCCATAGGATTCTGAAATACAAAAAATCATGACATAACTAATAATATAAGGTTAAATAATTTTTTTTTTCGAAGGCGCAAAATTTGAATATTAATATTAATATCAATCTAATGTGACTCACAATTTTTTTATTTGTGATTTGTCTAAGCATAATGTCGTGGTGGCTCGAAGTTTTAAGACTTCTTATACCCGCGAGCTTCTCATGAATGAGGGTTCGAAACCTACCATTGCCAAGTACCAATGCAACTTCTTGCGAGTTTTATGTACTTTCTAAAATTATTTAGACACTACAGACAAACGTTAAAGGAAATGAGTTTGAAATCGCCAACCCGCATTGGGCAAGCATGGTGATTGCTCAAACCTTCTCCGTGCGAGAAGAGGCCTTTGTTCAGCAGTGGCCACATATAGGCTGTTGATGTGTGACACTTGGCGATGGCGACACTAATTCTTTACAATACTTAAAACACAAATATTAAATACTCACTTGGAACTCTTCCTTTGTCGGCCTAAATACTAGACCATCCTGCATTGCGCCCCCTACAGCATGCGTCTGAGAAGTGTCTGCGCTACATTCGTTTAAATGTTCAGCACTAATCCGTTCATTCCCTTCTCTGGCGTAGTTACCTTCCTCTTCGTCGGAATTAACGTCGTTAACGGCGTCGTCACCTTCTTCGTACACGTTGTTTAGCGTGTGGCGCTCAACAATCCGACTCTGAATACTAGCTTGGGGTTCCTGTACGTTAGCACCGAATGCCTTAACGTTAGCTCGAAGTTTATCAAGAGGATGTGCACGTTCAGGCTCGTTTTCATGGTCCAGTTTGGATATTATACCTTGAAGTCGTTCAAATGTACTTCCTGTCTGAGAATTGCCCATTGTTACCATGTCATGGGGTAAACTAATAGATAGAGTATTTATTAGTTGGTCTAGTAGGTGTTCCTTCTCTTCAAGCAAGAAATCCTCACTATTTTTACGGGCGTCATTCTTTGGTATCAAGCAAGCTGACAGAAGTTGCTTTCCATGGACCTCGTGTATCCGGAGTTTCATCATGAGACGCGGATGTTTCGGAAGCAGATCGAGATACATATGGCCAGTATCTTCTTCTAACGGCTTAGGGTCATCATTCTCGGACTCATCATCATTTTCTGGTTCTGATTCTACGGATGTTTGATTGGTTCCAGTTAAATCAAATCTATAAAGTAGTTTTGACAATTGTGTTAGTTTATCTATTCTTGAACACGCAACACATAGAGTACAGCGGCTGTCCATTTCATCTTTAGGTGCATTAATGACTTGTTGTACAGTACGCCATTTTTCCGCGAAGCAAGGAGGTATTGTAAAGCATTTTAAAACTTTTATGTCTTGGTCTAGGTCTTCATCTTGTGACTCGATGCTCTGACCCCTGTACAAGTAAAAGAGGTTTATTATATAAGAGTTATTTTTATTGCTATAATACGAAATTGAAGCGCTCGATTGTATACTTGCCTAGAAAATCCAGAATTCCGTAACACTCTTTTTTGTAACCCACTGGGCCCTGCCACTGGTGCGGAAGTTACCCTTTGCAGCCAACTGGGCCCCGCCGCTGGTGCAGATGTTACCCTTTGTAGCCCACTAGGCCCTGCTACTGGTGCAGAAGTTATCCTTTGCAGCCCACTAGGCCCTGCCACTGGTGCAGATGTTATCCTTTGCAACCCACTAGGCCCAGCCATTGGCGCAGATGTTACCCTTTGTAGCCCACTAAGCCCCGCCACTGGTGCGCAAGTTACCCTTTGCAGCCCACTAGGACCGGCCACTGGTGCAGATGTTACAGTTTGCAGCCCACTAGGCGCCGCCACCGGTACAGAAGCCCTTTGAAGCCCACTAGGCCCGGCTACTGGTTCTATGGTTACTCTTTGCAGCCCACTAGGTCCCGCCACAGGCTCCAATATTGTCTTTTGTAGTCCACTGGGTCCAGCGACAGGTTCTGCCGGATGGCTTTGTATCCGATTCGGTATCGGGTCTGGCAGGGGTGATGGCACATAGGGGTCTAACATAATTCTCTTTGGGTAACTCCGTTCAAGAAGTACCACTTCTAAAACATGAACAAACACAAACTTAAAAAATGACAACAATATATCGAATCCGGACAGTAAAGTAAGTAGGGAACTTAAATAAATCTGCTGTAAAAATATTGAAACATTGCTTTAAAGTTTTTATAGACGTTATGTTTACAAAAAGTTCCAATAAATTATATAGTACTTTTACTTGCCTGAAATTGGAGGGTCACTAGTATGGCTTCGTTTCTTTGGTGATTTTTTATTGGCTTTGTTATTCTGGGCGTAATATGTCAATGGTCGATTATCTTCGATAGAGAATTCGGATGATGGAGAATAACGGTTAGGTGATTCAGTTTTCTTTCTATTCGTTATGATTTTACTTTTTAATACTTTTAACTTTTTGGCGGTAGTTGCGCAGACCCTACCGTTGCTTAAACGTCGTTGGCGCAAAGACATTGCATGTGTTTTTTGTAAATTGTTATCTTTAGTCTTTTGTAAGGCCCTCAGGATAGCGGCTAATGAGTTGTCGTCATTACTTCTGGTCTGTTTGCCTTTATTACTGAATACTTTACTACCACTTTTAGCTTTAGCACTGGATCCTTTACCTTTATTACCAATTTTATGTTTATTAAAGGCTTTTCCTTTAGTATTTGTTTTGTTTTTAGTATTCGCTTTTCCTTTAGTATTTGTTTTGACTTTTGTACTAGATTCTTTAAGAAGTTCTTTATTCTTCCCACTATACTCTTTGGCCGTAGCAAAAGGCTCTCTGACTTTAGAAGCAATATCTTTGTTTGCATTATGTTGTTCATTAGTCCGAGGTTCTTGTTTGTTGTTTTCAGGGGTTTCTTTCGCATAAGGACAAGTATTATGACTGTTTTCAACTACATCACCATTTGTATATTCATGTTTATTACTATTAAAATGTGCATTATAAGGACTAGACTTGCTTGTGGGACTTTCCTTAAGCCGCTTTTGCATATCTCTTGTACAACATTCATTGTCCACAGAACGGGTACTACCTGTCTCGCCTATAACAAGTTCTTGAGGCTTAGTGACAGTTTCCATATTTTCATCTCTGCATGGATTTGTTTGACGGAGTCTCTCTACAACCACTACTGGTTGCAAGTGGGTATGAAGACCTGGAATTCAGATGTTTCAGTTCAAATAAAAGACTACAAACCACTACTTTAGAAAATAAATTATAGTGAGATCGCAAGATATTATGTTCTATCTACTCAACGACACAAACATTAATTGATCATAACTAATAAAAAATAGTACCTAATGTCCTATTTTGCGGACCTGCTACACCTACACAAAGAAAAAAAATTTTGAATAATTAATTGTAACTACAACAAATATCAAGTAGGCACATATGAAACGGAGGAGCAGGTGCTCAACACAAAGTTAACCATACAATCAAAGAAATGATTTAGTTATTCTTTAAACACTTATTTTGTGTGATATTAAGGGTATCACAAAAAAATAGTCAGGTAATTTAATAATACATGCACTAGCTTCTGTCAGCGGTTTCACTCACGTTCACGTGGAATAAAAAGTAGCCTATCCTAGGGGCACGACACTGCCCCCACTCCTCCGAAGTCACGCAAGTTGGTTATGGATTTGGCCAATTTTTTTTAATGTTCTTTCCAGTTCAAAAATTATTATTACAGTTAGAAAAATTCGGAAAATTTTCGGAAATACCCTAAAAACAGCCCTTTTCTTTTTCCAAAAACGTTCTAAATAAAACGTACAGTCACCAGACAGTTTTTGTTTTTTGTATAATTATTAACATTCAGTTATCAGTTACGCAAAAGATTGACAGCAGACAATCAACAAAAAATTAAGGGATAAATACATGAACGCATGAATAATATACTTTCAAAATATAAAATCGAAATAATACACATATCAAAAATCTAATTACACATGGCTGAATACTAATATTAGTTATTGAAGATCCATAGTATTTCATTTTAGTCCGTTGACACCCAATTTACTATGACAGTTTGCCAGTCTCCTTTAGATAATATTAAATTAGTAGCATCGGTACAAAGAAGGCCAAATTATTAGTACCTGAGTAATAACAGAATTGTTTTTACTATGGAATGCTCACGGGAACGGATGCTATACCGGTAAAACCCCTGTGGAATTGTTTATTTTTTGAAATTACGTATAAAGACTTAGGTATTGATCGATTCTGATGAGATTTGTTACACGGCATTGCAATGAATCTTGGAATAGACAAATAAAAAGATCTAAATTCAACCAGAGCCATTATTATACGCGGACTAATGTTAGATTGTTTAGTCTGTTAAACTCCAAGCGATTGAAACTTGGGGCGTTTTTAACGTTTCTGGGGGCAATCAAATGACACGAAACGAGTCAAAAATTCTAAATTCTTCTAGAAGTCATTATTCCACGCGGACGAAGTGGCGGACAAAAAGTAGTTCATATAATAACTCATCAAATGAATTCACTGACATTCACATCGAATTCCCATAATTCAGTATAGAACTGATAAAATTGCACCTTTTGCATTACATTCTCGTAACAGTTTATTTATTTACAAAAGGAGAATGATCATATTACTAAGGGAGTTCGCCTATGAATGCATGTAATAAAATCAATACTATTTTATTAGTATGCTAAACAATTTGTCTTTTCTTGTCTAGCATGAAATTATTCTTGATGTTCATTTAGTTATGAAAATTAGTTTATATAAATTATTAACAAAAATTAGTTTATATTTCTGAGGACATAATATGAATATATCAAAACGCCTGGGGTCGACATATCATGTGACCACAGGACAGGTCTGTTTCTCGGTCAGAGGTTAAGCATTGCCATACAACGTGGCGATGCTGCCAGCCTTTTGGGTACTTTGACTGTTGACGTCGATGCGGACAAATTGACGTTCTTTGTAAATAATTTTCTTTTATTTACTTTGTCAAGTCGTTTTTCAAGTTTGAAATGTTTATAATATTAATTAGTACTATTACACAAAAATAAAATAGGTGTACATTTTTAAGACTGGCTTCTCATGCATCAGGGTGAGGGTTCGCCGCCACTATTTTATGTGGCCTAAGTCGCGGGCAGAAAATCTAGTTTTAAATAAACGACAATGACCATAGGATCATGGGCACCTTAGCATGAAAGTTGAACGTTCAACCAACAGAAATGAAATGTCATTTATTGTGTATTCTATGTCTAGATCACGTAAATATATATTTTATTATCATTAAGTATGGGGTTGTTGAGATAATCACACTTCAAATCTTGGTAATTGACGTAATGCTCTAAATTTCGTTTATTTTTCCTTTAAAAACAAGGGCACACGTAGTATTTTAATGGTAAGGCTATAATCATTTCAAAACTTGAATTAACACATTAAACATAACATGATTCCTAACCTAACCTATTTTTTTTTTCCTTTGGCAGCCGAGTCTCCAATATAACATAACATAATTCCTTTTATTTCCAGCAGGAGTACACGGAGGTACACAATAGAGAAGTTTTTATTTTAAAGAATTTGATATAATAGGCAATAAACATATTAAAAAATTAAAACAATCTAATTTATCGTAAAAAACCGTTTATTATTTAAACGCTAAAATGGACCTACAGTTTCGATGACGTCATGCGTGTCTATCATGCTTGCGTTCGTTGGCTGCCAAATTACAAAGGAGATCGGCAAACTTCCATAGTAAATCCGGCCCTTACAGACACGAATGATACTGTGGGTTGTCAAGGACTAATATTAGTATTCATCCCTGCGTAGTTTGTTTTTCATAGAACTCCGGAGATTATTAGATTAGATTCCAACCAAAAATTTCAGTTACTTGTCAATCCTCCTAACATTCGTTCCCGCTCTTATTACAGATTTATTTAGAATGCTGTTAAACTCTTTTAATGAAAATATCGTCCCAAAAAATATTTAAAATGTTCTTCGTAAACTCACTTGTCAAAAAATACGTCAGATGACATATATCTATACTAATATTATAATCATGAAGGTGTGTGTGTGTGTGTTTTTTGTCTATCTTTTACGGCCAAACGAAGCAAGGCTTTTTGAAGTGGAGATAGTTGAAAGAATTAACGGATGAAAAAGTAACGTACACATACTCTACATAGGCCACTTTTTATCTCATTTTCCCAAAACGGGGGGTTAAAAGAAAAGAAGTTGGGTTGGAAGTTTGTATGGAGTATTTCGTAACTTTAAAGTCAGAAGACCTTGCTATGCGGACTTGCTATGCTGCTATGAATATTTTTTTTACTAAACTTGCACCCCACCTCTTTAAGAGCGCGAGCAAAGCTGCAGAAGCTAGTCCGTGAATAAAATATATTCAGTTAACTTGAATCCGTATTATTTCTTTAAAATCTACATCTTTGGTGTTATTCTTAAAAATCAGATTAATATGATTTTACCACAATAATCATAAAATTTTCATAAATATTTGCAACTTCCCTATTATAAGAAACTGACCTTTTGCCAGTCATGTTAATATTTACATATAATTAGAACGAATCTATGACTATACACTGCGCACAATTACAGACTTTGTTAATGCTGGGTAAAGATCCTCTCAATGCCTAGTCCGACCCAAGAATCGAACCTAAAATCATCAAAACGCTTAGAATTAAAAATTCTTAAGTTAAATGCTGAAATAATATGAAACGTTTAGATTTCCTCGTTGGTGGGGTGTTTGTAAGTGTCATTGCAGAACCAAGATCTTGCTTTCGAATCCCAGATCGACTAAAAAATATATTATTTTTCATGTTTTTGACATGTTTTATCAACATTCCAAAGTCTGTAACTGTGTTCTAGTTTATTAATTGTACGAAGTTGAATGAAGTTTTAGTCCTAACTGTTGCCTATTTAAGAGGTTAAAAACCCTACTTAATCGTTTGGTTCGCTTCGGGAATCATAAGATTTTTTACGGTTGTAGGCTCTTATCTTCATTTTCCGGCGAGCTAGCTAAAAGTCGTCATGCTAACAAATAAAGTATACATGATCCTTTGTAAGGAGCGTGGTGGCTTTAAATTTTTTCACGGCAGTTGATCAGATGTAAAAAGGAACAAAAACTTTTAAAACGTTTAACTGATGTAAAATAACATTACAAACAAAAAATAATACGGGGCCTTAAACAAAAACTCAGCCCGAACCGAGGTAAATCAATTCAAAGATGTGAAAATAGAGCTATATTATTCTTGTTATTTTGTTGACTACTTGTCTTAACATTATCTATACTTAGACTACGTGATACAAATCATGATCACTGATTATATTACACTACCTGAATGAAAATTTCTAACATGCAGTTATATTTACCAGCAGTAAATGTGAACATTCACGCGCAAGCATCCCGTGTTGGAAATGAAAAGAAAAAACAAACACTAATAAGTTGTACATGTAAACACAAAAGATGTATGTATATGTAGGGGGTAGGTTTATAACCTACCAAAACTTAGAGTTCTTTGTTTAAAAAAATTAATCAGCAGAACCCATCGATGTCACAAACATGACGTCGATGGGTTTTAGGGCAGGACACAATGTTAACTGTTTAACCGTGAGAAGTAAGAATGAATAAACAAAAAACTCATCAAAAATTAAAAATCACGGTAAAATATTATATTGTGCCATGGCATGTGCATGCCATGGCATTTATATATTATTTGAATTAAGGTCTCCAACATGGAATATACTTAGAACTAAGAAATAAAAAAGTTGATCGAAGAAATTATATTGTGAAAAGTAATTTTTATATTTAGTATTTCAAATCTAAACAGCTACTAGGAGTTCATACGGCAGTAAGAGATATTTAAAAAGGAGGGAATTGCTAGATTTCGTTCAGTTTCAATGTGAAATTAAAAATAAAACCTTGTCGATTTATATATTTTAAAATCTACGTTTACCGGTCGGCCAGCCGGCAAGCAGCCGATCTGGAAGTCATTGGGGGGACGCCTTTGTATGTTCAGGAGTGGACGTCCTATAGCTGATATGACGATGATGATGATTTAACAGTTTTAAATTCTTTCATTTTGGCTCTCATATGTATAATAGTTTTTTGCTTATTAGTTTTTACTTTTTGGAGCAAGAGCTCGTGTACCCAACTCGTGTGTCCTACGTTATTTTATG